ACCATCACACAATATACACAGAATGACAATTAAGTTTGCGAACTCATGCTAGAAAAGTGCTATATACCTCATTTCTGAATATCATTACGGTCACCTTCAAGGTCCTCCCCTTGGGAAGCTATTCATAGATGCAAGTGCCTAGTACACTAGTCAAAGCCATTTGGGAACTCTTTTTCTAAAATGAACATCAGATCTGTAGTTGTATTACCCTTGATGTCCTGAAGTCATCAAAATGTCTTCCTTTCAATATTTCCTTTATCGTCAGGTAAAGAAAAAAGTCATTGGAGCCCAGATCAGATGATTATGGAGGATGTTCCAATACAGTTATTTGTTTATTGGCTAAAAACTCCCTCACAGACAGTGCTGTGTGAGCTGATGCATTGTTGTGATACAAGAGCTCCTTCGGGACTATTTTTGTGCACATCTTTCTCATGCCAAGATTTTCAGTTAAGATTTTCCTGTTTCTCTATCAACGTTTATTTGGTTTGCTATGCTTCTCACAATCAGCCAATGATTTTGACACACAATTTGATGGATTTTTGCAATGTTTTCATCAGTTCTGCTTTTTACTGGCCGCCCTGACCTCTCTTCATCAGTGACACTTTTTCTCCCCTCAGGAAAACATCTAATTCATTTGCACACTGTTATTTTTTCACAGCATTATCCCCATAACCTTGGAATAACATGTCCCTGATTTCACTTCTACTCTTGCCAAGTTTAACAAGAAATTTAATGGGTCTTCATTGCTCTAATTCAAGCTCTGATGTTCTCAGGACAGCACACAAAAACATGCAACAACAATAATGAACACCACTCAGCAAGACACCACCACACATCAACATGAACTCAGCTGTGAGAAACTGATATAACAAGGTTATGAAACTTACCGAGTCGTCTGTACAGTGCCGCCAACATAAACACAGTGGTAAGTTCGTGAACTTAATTGTCGGACCTCATACCTATGTAACCAACCTGCACATGTACACTCTGAAATTAAAATTTTTTTAATAACAAAAATAAAAAAGGGTTTTATTGTAAAATAAATAAATAAGTAAGCATCACATCTTCCTTTCAAGTGTCTTTTGACATTACTCCTGTGTGCAGCCCCATTTTCAAACTATTAGCCCCCAAGTTTAAAACCCAAAAGAATTGTCTCCAGTTACCTATTGCTCTCTCTGTATTAAATAAAGATTAAGAGAGATGCAGTCTTGCCTGGTAATATACACAACTTTAGACAAAATTGCCCCCACCTTTTGGAACAACTACTATTTTAAAATCATAATACATATTAAACAGTAGCCATGGCAAGATGCCTCCTCCTATATTAAGACCATTGCTATTTTTTATAGAAAGCCTGGAGAATAGAAATTAAAAAGTAGTCTCTTAATGGTAACCTTGACACCTAAGCAGAAACTAAACATCAATTTTTTCTTTTATTTTTTAGCAAGTCTTAATTTCCCATCACATTGAAATTTAAAAAGACTCTCCAATATTCTCTCCTACATACAAACGGAAAAACATTTTTTTCCATCTCTCGCTGTATTTTCTATTATAAGTAGACAGAAATACTGTTTAATGGCATAATAACTTCCAGGAGCCTTGGAAATCAGTTCCCTAAATCAAGAAGCCCACAAACATTTTACCACAATCATCCTGGGAATCCTTTCCAGTCTTCACACCTTTTTTTCACCCACCGAATCTCCCAGCACACAACTTATAGTTCATTGCTTGTGGTCCTCAGAAAAGCAAGACTGATAAATCTGAAGACAATCACTAAGCAAAATAATCACCCCTCATGTACTGTTTTCTTTCTCCAGATAGTTGTAGACCGTCAAAAGATTCCCTGGTGCAAAAACTCATTTTATGAAACAGGAAACCAAACCTCAAAGACCATGGGTAGTTGCTGGCAGAGGCACAATGAAAACAAAGATGTCCTCTCAGGCACTCTAATGCTCAGTCCAGCATCACTTCTTCCTCAACAGATAAGGGTCCAAACCTGATCTAGCTGCCTCCATAGACAAATAAAGATGAAAACCCTTCTCCCCTCTGCACACCCTCTTTGTGCTTCCCACTACTCCTCCAGGAGCCACAGGCTTCCAGCATGCATCTGGGGAAACAGCCCTACTCAAGACTGAGCACACTCACCTCCAAATACCACATCAAAATGATCTTTTTTACACTTTTGTGAAAGCCCATCTTTTTTCCCCATCCTTATTTTAAAGCAAGGGCTGGAATTTCCAAGACATAGGCAACAACTAGGAAGAACACTAGAGTCAAAACTTTCCCTACTCAACATCCCAAAGGAACTGGCAGCAAGCACTTTCTCCTCCACCTCGTCCTTGCCAGAAAGCAGCAAGCAAGGAATCCTCCAAGCCAGGATAGTTCAGAATAGGCTGCAAGCTCATCACACTATATTCAAAAGGATCAGAATGGAAAGCAAGGCATTAGACAACCCAACGGGGTTATTGAGATGCAGCTGGGTTCTTAAAAAATATACAGTATTCTGAACTCAAATAACATTACTCATACTGTCAAATGCTCAAAATATTGAGCATTTATGAGGGAGAACCTCCCCAAAAAAACTGGAATAGTCTTTTTGGAGAGCGAGCTCCTTGTAGCACAGGCTTTCTCCACTAGGTAAGTGTTCTAGAACCCATCGGCATCAGTGTACCAGCTAGCATTGTTGTGAGATGCTGTGTTCGTCTTCAGTGTCTTTGTGGCAGACATGTTGTCTTCTGCCATGCCAATGCACCTGCCCAAACTACACTGAGTATTCAGCAGTTTCTGACAAAAAAAAAAAAAAAAAGGCATGACTTCCGTACCCTACTCTCCTCATTCACCCAATCTCTCCCCAAGTGACTTTTTTGTTTGTTTGTTTCCTCAGAATAAAAGAACCCTCAAAGGGAAACATTTTGCTGATGTGGAAGAGATGAGACCAAAAATGGAAGAAACACTAAAAGGCATCAAAATTGACGAGTTCAAAAACTGTTTTGAGCAGTGGAAAAAGTGTCTCGATAGGTGTATTGCATCAAATGGAGAGTAATTTGAAGGTGACCGAAATTTAAACGTTAAAATAAATACACAATTTTTATAAATAAATTTCAGTTCTCCCCACCCCTTACATTATTTACTAGACACTATGCTAAGTGATACAAAGACTAACTAGTAAGGTATTTGTCTAGCTCACAGTCTAGCAAGGAAGTCGATATGTAAATGAATGACGCAGGACATTTAAGAAACAGCAGTAGACATGGAAATAGGTTGTAGATGTGAAAGAAGCTGCAGCTTCTGAGATTGCTGCCTGCTCACGTAAAGAGGAGCCATAGGAAGATTCTCGGTGTCCTCAGTGGTAGGTAAATGGTGATGCCAATGCCAGGACTGGGGAAATCACTTGAAGTCGTATGCTACTTCTGTCTGTATCTACCTCACCTAGCAAGGTCATCTACCATCACCAATGACATTCAAGTGCTTATGGCCTTCCTCATCCATCAGTCAGGGTCAATCTAGCCAAGAAACAGAATCCCCTCAAGTATTCCCAATGGAGGGAGTTTGATTCCGAGAACTGGTCACCCTGGTGATAGACATTGACTTCAGCAAGAGGCCACTGGCATCCCAAGGCTGGAGGGACAAAGGAAGCAGGGAGTCCCTGTGTGACAGAGGGAGGAAGCCCTTGCCTTCTCCTTCCCTTTCTGTTCCCACTCCCACTCTTCTGCCCTCCAACCCCCATTTGGCTAAACTCAAGAAAATCCAGCTGATAGGGGAGTCTAAGAAAGCAGACTACAGGGTCAGCCCTCAGTGCCACAGGCAAAGCAGGCCAGGTTCACTCCAGTCACCAAGACGGAACTGCTGGACAGCTTCCCCATATTCCCATATAGGATATGAGATGCCAGCTGCGGGTCTGGGGGACATCATTCAGCTCACCAGGGTAATGTACCACTAGCCACATCTGTATCCACTGATTCCTCACCCCCTGGTCCAAGCCCTCTCCGTTCTTGAGGAGGAACTATTCTCAAAGACCTGAGTCAAAGTTTGTCTTCCTTCGAGAATCGAGAGAAAAGGATAGTGATTTCCTTCTCTCCTTCCTTCTTATCCTCTCTCATTTCTCCTTTCCCTTCTTGTTCTCATTACTCTACTCCCTACTGCTCTTTTTCTCTCTCCCATTCATCACATTTTTTGAGTCTCCATTTCCATCTTCAATTCCCTCCTCACATTGGCAACCACTTCCCTTACTCTTTCCATCTCACTCCTCCAAAAGGATCGCATGAGATTGAACCTCAAAACACCAAATAGTGATAAGTTTTTCAGTAGCAGGCAGGACTAGACATAGCTTTAATAGTAAATCTCATGTCTCTTGAGCCTAGTTATTCATTCCTTGAACACAGTAGACATTCAACAAAAGAGTTGCTAAAATCCAAGTAAATAGAATGTATCTGTCATTAAATTATTTATTCATTTTTGTTTGTGTGATAGAAACTTGAGTAGTTTCTGGAATCATCTCCAGCATATCTGGCCAGAAAATCTGGTGAGGAAAGGAAAGATCAAATGAGAAATCAAAATGCATGGCCCTGGAAGACCTACAAGTTATGTCAAACCTGTATTTCCCCACAAGCCACTAAAATTGAGCATAACTCTTATAACAGCTTTACATATGCTCAGCAATACATGACACTGACCAAGAGCAAAGTATCTCTTCTCAGCTTCTAACAATTAAGAATGAAGAGGAGACATGGTCTTTAGAAACATGAACTTCTATCCTTCCCGTTTTCCTTCAGAAGCAGATATTATCCACCATGAAGGGGAAGTTCTCTGACATTATTTGAGGATGGAAACTTTTAGCCAAAATGGTGTCACCTCTGAACCCACTCTGACATGTGCTACGTAAGTGAGTAAGTGACCACAGAAGGAGAAAAGTCCTATAAAAAGGGAGGAGGAGTACTACACTCTGTCCATCTTGCAGCAGACACAACTCATCCATCTCCAGTTGATCGGAAGAAGCAAGAATGACTCCTGGGAGGACTTTACTGTTGGTAAGTCCTGCGCTAATGTACAATGCTCTTGTTGATTTGGACCAGACAATATTTCTGGACAGTGGGCATGAAATGCTGGATTCTAACTATGGAAATTCAAGAATATTGTATATGTAAAATACATTAAAAAGTAAGTTTTGGTAGATTTCTAAGTCATTGTGCAGCATTTTCAAGAACTGATATACATCAGTTTGAAAGATGAGATTAAAACTGAAAGATAGCTATATTGAGGCTAAACCACACAAAAGGTGTCACATGATGCTGTGCAGTAAGAAAAAAATGTGTATTGAAAGTCTGTTTTCCTGAGTACAAAGGAGTTAATATCGTTCTCCCACAGCATTTTTCTTTAATCCGTTTTCTTTAAAATGGGTCACTGTCCTTGAGAATTTGAAAGCTCTGGCAGCCACCTTTGTTTCCACTATCTTAGACTATACTCTTGGCACATCAAAGCTATTTATTCTAATTAGATATATGTATAACTGTGTTTTAGAATAAATGGGCTTTGTGTCTTTAAAATATTTAACTTAAAGTACCTTTTTGAAAACTGATTTTAGTGCAGAATTAATACATGTTAAATTTAGAACAACTAGAAAATACATCTAAGAAAACATAAGGAGAATCCAGTTAGTTTAGATAGATGTTTGCCAGTGGCATCAACAGCATTTCTAGCTCAATAGTAATACCACATGGTTCTATAGCCCTTTCTTCAAGGTGCATATCTGACTTCACATAGAGTCTCTCAAAATGCTGAGACCAAGAACAGTGGTGCAGGAGGACATTACAAACCTTGAAAATCAAAGTCATTATTTTCTCATTGACCTGGCAATGATGCATGTGCTGCAGGCTGATAATATGATATGACTTGACATTTTAAAATTACTTAAATTTTAAATTTTAAAATTAAAATGACATTTTAAAATTACTTAAAATTACTGCCAGTCAGTGTTTATGTCTTTCCTAAGTCAAAAGACAAATGCTAAAAACTGGTAATAAAAGAAAAAAGCCATGGTCTTAACATTATGTTAGTCATCTAATTAGATTCTTCTTTAACTGATCAGAAAATCTAGTATGGATTGTCCTAGAACATTGTATGTTCTCTATAATTAGTAATACATCATCATCACAATTAATTCGTTAAAAAAAAAAAAAAACTAAGCCGGGCTCGGTGGCTCAGCCTGTAATCCCGTGCCTTTGGGAAGCTGAGGTGAGTGGATTGCCTGAGCCCACGGGTTCGAGACCCGCCTGGGCAGCAAGACCTCATCTCTACAATAAATCAAAAAAATCAACCGGGCATGGTAGCACATTCCTGTAATTCCGGCTACTCGGAAGGCTGAGGCAGAAGGATCACCAGAGCCCAGCAGGTCGAGGCTGCGGTGGCCGGGAGACTGCACTCCAGTCTGGGTGACAGAGTGAGACTACCAACTCAAAAAAAAAAAAAAACTAATCCAATCTCCCACCTCTCTTTCCTTTCCCATTCAGATCCAGTTACTACTGCTGCTCCTGAGTCTGGTGGCTACAGTGAAGACAAGAATAATCCCACAAAGTCCAGTGTGCCCAAATTCTGAGAACAACAGTTTCCCCCAGAATGTGACCGTCAACCTGACCATCATTAACCAGAATACAGATCTCCAAAAGTCTTCAGATTACTCCAGCCGATCCACCTCACCTTGGCGTCTCCAGTACGTAAGGGCCCCTCTCATGCAACACTCTCATGCATCAGACCACCAATAAAATCACCGAGAGGATGATTTTACTCATTCAGAATTATCAATCAGGCCTGGAAGGGCCACTGTGTAGAGCAATGATTCCCAAATTTTCTACAGATTTATTTGACAAAGCACAGGACACACCCCTCCCATAACACCTATGCTGTTACATCTCACTGTCACTGACACCAAAAATCAACCCAGATTAACAGTAATCATTATTCTAACATGTATGAGACCAAGGTTTATTGTTTATTCAAAAAAACAGACATTTATCATAGGAGATTAATGCTTAGATTCTCTTAATCAGAGCTACTACTGAGAAGATTTGATGAAAATAACTAATAATTAAATAAGTTTTGTGCTTTTATTTTTTAAGTAGGAGTCTCACTCTGTCGCCTAGGCTGGAGGGCAGTGGCATGCTCACAGTCACCACAGCCTCAATCTGCTGGACTCAGGTGATTCTTTCACCTCAGCCTTCCAGGTAGCTAGAACTGCAGGCACATGCCACCACGCCAGGCTAATTTTTTTGATTTATTGTAGAGACAAAGTCTCACCAAGTTGCCTAGGCTGGTCTCGAACCCCTGGACTCAAGCAATCCTCTTGCCTCTACCTCCCAAAGTACTGGGATTACAGATGTGAGCCACCACCCTGGCACTTTTTTTTTTTTTGGTCATATTAGCACTGTAAAATATAGCTTGAATCCCAGTGGAGGAAGTATCATGTTGTATATTTCTATCCCTTTTGAGTTAAATAGTCTTGATTTAGCTCAGCATACCCCTACTTGCTGTGTCCTTGTGCCCCTTAGTACATGTAGTATTTAAACTCCTTTGAAGATTAACACAAAATATATTTTGATCATTTGACTTTATGCAAGTAAGCCTCAGTTATATGGAGTTATGTGGAACAGATTGATCTTACTGTAAGATTTTTTCTCCTCTTCTCATTACTAAAATAGTTAAATCAATGGAAAAAATCAAAGCAAATCATTCACTCAGCTAAAGGAGAGAGGGAAGAGAAGGTTATACAGACATTTTAGCTTTTGTTTCCAACACTTCATCTCAGCTCTGGGTTCTGTCCCACGAATATTCTCTCAGATAAGATTGTGATGCATTCTCTCTTTCAAAAACCGATTTTATCAAGTCAGATAAATAGCTATCTTACTCCTGACTGGGGTCTGAATTATCTACTCTTCCTTTGGTCTTTTTTCAACTGTCAAAAGTATCCTAAAAAAATTATCCTTTGTGTCAAATTTAAATCCTTTTCTGAGGTCTCATATCTTATTTTATTCATTCTTCAAAGAAATTGGGAAAAACTGATCATTGTCTTCTCTTCCATAACAATTCATGGGCTTAAAAATCCAGATTTTCTCTGAAGTTCATCTTCAAACTAACATCACTTAAAGAAATTTGCAATGCCTGTTTGTCCCTGTGAATGTGCCTCCCTTCATGTATTCCTGTTTGCTTTACTTCCTACTGTACCAGAATTCACTTGCCGCCTGGCTTTTCTTCCTCCTGCAGCCGCAATGCCGACCCCGAGAGATATCCCCCTGTGATCTGGGAGGCGAAGTGCCGCCACTTGGGCTGCATCACTGATAGGAATGAGGTGGACCACTCCAGGAATTCCGTCCCCATCCAACAAGAGATCCTCGTCCTGCGGAGGGAGTCTCAGCACTGCCCCCACTCCTTCCGGCTGGAGAAGATGTTGGTGACCGTGGGCTGCACCTGCGTCAACCCCATAGTCCGCTATGTGGGCTAAGAACTTTGGGTCTGATTTGAGGCTACCTGGGACCAGTGAGACTTTCTGGGGATCATACCCTGCCTCCTAGGAGACCTTATTCTTCAAAGACACAGTCCCATTTCTGACTAACCCCATTAGGGTTCTTAAAGCAGTTCACCCAATCAAAAATTTGAGCGGTAAAACTCGGGTTCAGAGATGGAGACTGAATCACCTTTTCTTCTTTCCAAGAAGGAAGGTTTAGACTGTGTATCAATTTGCTTGCTTACTTTGCTAAAAGCTTTAAGTTATTTATGTATTTAATATACCCTGAGATAACTTTGAGATAAGATTCTACTTTAATGAATATTTCCTGCCTTTTTTTGTATTTCTTTTCAAAGAAGACAAGATTTCAGACTTGGGAATTTTATTATTTAAAAGGTAAAACCTATATTTATATGAGCTATTTATGGATCTATTTATGTTTCTTAACTCTTTAGAGAGAGGTGAAAAAGTATGATCATCAGTTCTGTCTAGGGAAATCCTAGATAGAACTACATGGCAGTTAAACATTTCTGAGTTTTTACACATATGGATGTGGTATTTTCTCCTCTTTGTCTCTTAGAAGTGTATAACATGACTGAAAAAAGAGAAAGACTAAACTTGGTCTTATATTTATTAACTTATATTTTATAAATTATTGATGATGTACAAGAAATACAGCAAGTCTAACTCTCTATTCTGTTAAAACTTTATAATAAAATCCCTGTGTAACAATACATTTTGAGGGAAAAAAATGTTTCCTTATTCTTTCTCCTTAACCATACTTCAGTTCGGGAGTAGTGGCTTACACCTGTAATCCCAGCACTTTGGGAGGCTAAGGTGGGAGGATTGTTTGAGTCCAGTAGTCCAAGATCAACCTTGTCAACATAGCAAGACCTTGTTTCTATTTTTAAAAATTATCTGGGCATAGTGGCATGTACCTGTAGTCCCAGTTACTCAGGAGTCTCAGGCAGAAGGATTGCCTAAACTCAGGAGTTTGAGACCAACCTGAGCAACATAGTGAGATCTCATCTATACAAAAAAAAGTCAAGAAATTTGCCAGGCACAGTGGTGCATGCCTGCAGTCCCAGCTACTCAGAAGTCTGAGGCAGAAGGATTGCCTGAGCCCAGGAGGTCAAGGATGCAGTGAGCCATGATTGTGCCACTGCATTCCAGCCTGGACAACAGCGTGAGACCCCAAGTCAAAAAATTTTTTTGAAAAAGTACTTCAGCAGGGCTTGGTGGCTCAGCCTGTAATCCCAGCACTTTGGGAGGCCAAGGTGAGTGGATTGCCTGAGCCTGCGGGTTCGAGTCCCACCCGGACAATTTGGTGAGACCTCGTCACTACAATAAATCAAAAATTAGCCAGGCGTGGTAGCACGTGCACCTGTAGTTCTGGCTACTTGGAAGGCTGAGGCGGAAGAATCGCTGGAGTCCAGCAGGTCGAGGCTGCAGTGGCCGGGAGCGTGCCACTGCACTCCAGTCTGGGCGACAAGAGTGAGACTCCAACTTGAAAAAAAAAGAAAAGAAAAAGGACTTCAGTAAACTCAGCTTTTCTCTATTGGGAATTGTATGCAAACGCTCTTATAGAGCAAAACAAAGCATGCCTTTGAGTAACAATGCCCTGGTCCAAGTTCTCAATTTCCCAGGCCTTCACCACAGAGGACCAGGCTCTCATACTACTAGCCAGTGCTATGGGCAGAAGCATTCCAAAATAAATTAAGCAAATCAAATAACAACTCTAAGAAATGTCATTACTAAAGATCATTAAGGAAAATAAGAGACCCTCCCCAAAATACAAGTAGTACTGGAAAGCGACATTGTTTTCAGACTAAAATGTCCATTCTCTTCCCTCATACTTTGAAGATTAAGGCTCACCAGAGATCTACAGAAGAACATTATTCTCTTCTTTATGTCATACTCCTATGTCCCAGCTTCTGTCCGATCCAGAGTACCTCAGAACACAGAAAAGACTGAGGGGCAAAACAAACTTAAAGTATGAGAAAAGTTCAGCCCAAGTAAAATAAAAACCGAATCACACTCAATTCCAGAGTAGTTTCAAGTTTCAAGTCATAATCATTTCGCTCATGGCCCAGCATGCTGTCTTGCCCTACTTCTGAAGGCCTCTGGAAATTCTCAAGCTGCTCCCACAGGCTCCTTGCTTCTCGAAAGACCTTCCTCTTCACCCCATTCTCCAGCATGCTCTGGCCCCACCCAGAGGCCCAAGGCTTTCCTCTGCTCTTTCCTGGTTCCAAATCCAGGGGTCAGTTTCTCCAGCCTCACTCCTCTCAACGTCATTCTGTGCTCATACATCTTGATTTTTATGACCGTCCCCATTAGGATCTTCCCACAGGAAATCCAGGGGCAGCTACCACTGACAGTTTTTCACGGTCTTTACACCCTCAACCTTCTTGCTAAAAACGTGCTGCTCATTTTCGAGTTTTCCCTGAATGGTGGTAATGGGAAAAAAGAGTTGGGTTTTTTTTTTTTGAGGGAGGGGAGCGCAAGAAAAGGACATAGAGAAAGAAAGAAAAGGCAGGCAAGTAGGCAGTAAAGAAGGATGGAAGGAAGGAAGGAAATAAGGACGGAAGGAAGGGAAATACATGTATATATACATACACATGCATGTATATATACATATGTGTATACTGTAAGTATGTGCATATATATGTATGTATGTTAATTTCTGATTGTTTCTATTTATCTAGAACCCTGACTAATACATTAAGTAAATAGAACAGTGTTTATAACATGTGTTCAAAAAATATTTATTAAATAAAAGAATGAATTAGTAAGCCAAAATTTCTCTACCAAGTAACATCCTGTGAATTCAACAGAAAGACTTTCTCAAGTATATAAGGACATAGAAAATGCTATGTGAGCATCTTTTTGGCAAAAACAATGTTCAGAGGTACCCTCTGAGAGATTGGTAGAGTTTGGATGTTGTCTCCTTCAAATCTTGAAATGTGGTCCCCAGTGTTGAAAGTAAGGCCTTGTGGAAAGTGTTTGGGTCAAGGGGACGGACCCTCATGAATGGATTGGTGCTGTTCTTGAGGTAATGAGTGAATCCTAGCCCTATTAGATCACATGAGAGCTGGTTATTTAAAAGAGCCTAGCCCAGGACTCAGTGACTCAGCCTGTAATCCCTGAGCCCGCAGGTTTGAGACCAGCCCAGGCAACATGGTGAGACCTCATCTCTACAATAAATAAAAAAATTAGCCGGGCATGGATAAATAAATGAATAAAAGAGGCTGGCACCTACTTCACTCTTGCTCTTGCCATGTGACATGCCTTGTTCCTCTTCACTTTTTGCCATGATTATAAATTTCCTGAGACCTTACCAGAAATCCAGCCCTTGCCAGTGCCATGTAGAACTGTGAGCCAAGATAAACCTCTTTCCTTATAAATTAACCATCCTGTGGTATTTCTTTTATAGCAGTGCAAAACAGACTAATACAAGATGAATCAAGGCTAAGAATTTAAGATGAGTCAGTCGTGGACCCTTTGTGAGCACTTGAGCACCGAAATTAGGTGTACATTGACATGTCTAAATAATTATAAATGTTTTCCTAATGAATCCTAAAGTCAAAGTATATTCTTTTTAAAAATAAAATCTAAGGTTAGTAAAACACAATCATCATCTTATACATAATTCAAGGATCAATAAAACAAGAAAAAAGAAGTAGTGGTAGGAAAGGCTGACAGAAGTAGAAAGACAAAAGATTCCTCAGCTCCAGTGGAGTGATGTCAAAAATTATTGCTCCAAGCCGGGCTCGGTGGCTCAGCCTGTAATCCAGCGCCTTTGGGAGGCTGAGGTGAGTGGATTGCCTGAACCCGGGGGTTCGAGATCCGCCTGGGCAGCGAGACCTCATCTCTACAATAAATCAAAAACTCAGCCGGGTGTGGTAGCGCATGCCTGTAATTCCGGCTACTCGGAAGGCTGAGGCGGAAGGATCGCCAGAGCCCAGCAGGTCGAGGCTGTGGTGGTTGGGAGCGGCCACTGCACTCCAGTCTGGGTGACAGAGTGGGACTCCAACTCAAAAAAAAATGAAAAATTAAAATTAAAATAAAAACATAAGCAAATACATGTATCAGTCAAATGCATACCGGAAATAATCAGGGATAGTCTTGGTATTAGAAAAAGTAAATTCAGAAGCATCAAGTGGGAAAAAAAGTTACTTCATATGGATAAAATTTAGATTAATAATGGAAAAAATAAGTTTTTAAAATGTATGCATATGATAACATCTAAATGTTTAATTCAAGACAAGTTTTAAAATGCAGAGACACTGTTATTTAACATGGTGTAGAAGTTCTGTCCAGCAATGAAACAAACACACAAAATCATCATTATTTGCAGAGAATATAATCACATACCTAGAGGAAAAAATAAATAAGTCAACAGGAAAATCATTAGATGTAATCAGTATGCTCAGAAACTGGCTAGCTAGAAAAGAAATATTTTAAAATCATTTTTCTGCACAGAAGTCTAAAAGTTTCTCTTTAACAAGTCTAAAAATAAAATTTTTCCCCATAATTTTAAAAATACCATTCATTATGGAAAAACATCTGGAAATACCTAGTTGTAACCTTATTAAAATATAAGAAAACCCTATAGAGAGAGAACTATAAAATATTGATGAATTAGTTAAATTACTTGACGAAGTGATAAGAAATACAATATTTATGCAAGGCAAGATTACCTGCTCTAAAAAGAAAAATTATTTCCTTTTTATGTATTTATTTTTAGAGACAGAGTCTCACTATGCTGCCAAGGTTGGAGCTCAGTGGCTATTCACAGGTGCAATCATAGCTCACTGTAGCCTTGAACACCTGGGATCAAACGAGCCACCCATCTCAGCCTCCCGGGTAACTGAGACTACAGATGTGCACTGCTGCAGCAGGTTCCTAATTTATTTCTTCATCTGATGCAATATCAATCAAATGTTGATTGGTAATAATGCAAATTTCTAAAACTCTTCTAAGAATATATTAATCAC